CAAATTCTATTAAACATAAATGTATAAGAGATTGTGTGAATGAGAAAGGTAGCTTATTTTTAAAAATCTGATATACATAGTAATGCTCACATTGTAAAATACATTCTTTTCCTGTATACGCTGACCATCAGCTGCTTGGTATGTAGAAATGCAGAAAGGGGTTTTAGTTGCATGATTCATGTTGAGCTATGATGCATCTGTTCCCATAATTGAGTTATTCCAGAACAGATTAGATTTCTCAAGTCTCTGAGCTGGGGAACCCTTTCTTTGGAATTTCCTTGAGTTGGACACTGCCAACTTTTGCCTCTCTGTGGTTTCCTTTCCTGTGTTTATGTTGACTCTTCTGAGTCATCTCACATGGTCTTTTCCCAAATAGCTATATTAGACTTCCATTGTATTTATAGTATTTTTATATTGTCTATGCAAGAGATGCCCTATGTTTAGATTTTGCCAGGTTACCTTTAAAGGCCTCTGTATGCCTAATTTATAGGTGGTACTTCACTGTCAGTACATATATATTCACTGTGTATGTAAGTCTTAACTCTTTTTCTTTAGATCTTATAGATTGTCTTAAATGCGTTCTCTTGCTGTTTGGAAGCCCCTTGGCTTGGCTTCGTTAGTCTTGTTGGTGATGGCTTCAGATCTTCACTTCAATTTCTGTCTTCATACCCTTCTACTTCTCTTTCATTTGCTTTCTTCTGTGTCAGCATATTTTATTTACATTTCTAAGCCTCTGTTTTCTCTGTGCTCACACTATTTCTCTGTTCTTTCCCTCCTAAACAATAATCACACTGTTTTTACAATTCTAACAATGATAGTTCTTGCTTTTGGTTAGAGTTTTGCCAAAGTGTACTGCCATTAAGCAGTGCACTTGGACTTCTGGCAGTATTGGTGTATTAGGTCTGTTCATTGCCTTCTGAGTTGTCTGTCAACCAACTTTATAACTCCTGGGTGACAAATGAATTGGCAGCCTTTTAAATCCTAACTTAAAGGCTATATTTGTCATCAGTTTTGCAAAAATCTAAGTGTTTGGGGAAACCTAAGTCTTAAATATATGAGGTATTCTTTTTGGTTTTAGAGTTCCCTTATCCATTAATACAAATATAGTATTTCTTAAATTAGAATTTTAAAATTGGAGACAAGCTTTCTTATGATTGGACTGCAACCAAGGACCAACTCTGCCCTCTGCAGTTTATTAGTTAAGTTTGGTTAACAGTGGTTAGCAAATGGTATATTATCATCTCATGCACCTGCAAAGTTAAGCAATTAGAAACATTTGTTAATATATTTTAATGTATAGTTCATCACTTGCTATTAGTTTATTTTTTATGGATAACTTTTAAAAATGTATCATGACACCATATAATTCTGTTTATGCAACGTGGCAGTTCTTTTTTTTTTTCCTTAAACCTTGTCTATGTGCCTTTTCATTTATGCAAAGTATGTTTTTTTTCTAAATGGGTCTAATTTTGAAACAAATTCCTAAGAGGTTAACTTATCTAGGGGGAAAGAAGCCTGATTACTGTGCATTTTTAAAATATATTATGCATTTGAAACAGTGAATAGACTGTGTATTGTTACATTTCTGTTCATTTATTTAACCAATATTTATTGGACATATACTGTGTGCCATGCACTATGTTAGGTGTTGAGATGCAGTGTTGGATAAAACCAGATACTTGACCTTCACAGAATTTATAACCTACTGGGGAAAGACACATTAAAAATAATCAGATTAAAAGTAAAGTAAAAGTTACCAAGTAAAGGTACTTGTGACCCTCTCAGGGAGGCCAGAAGAGACTCTTCATAGAAATGACAGTTGGTCCAAAATCAGGATGAATAGATGTTAACAAGCTGACATGGGAAGAAAGAACATTCTGACCAGTGGAAATGGTAGGTGTAAAGGCTTTGTAGTAGAAGTGAGCATGGTGAGGACAGGGGACTGAAAGGCCAGTGTGGTTCTTCTGAGAACAATTGGAGACCGTTAAAAAGAGTTACGTAAAGGTGTGACATTGGATATATACTTTAAAAAATTTTATTCTGATGGCATTGTGGATAACTGATTGGAGAGAGGCAAGAATAGGTGCGGAGAAACCAGTTAACAGTATCTCAGCCACGATTGTGAAAAGGTCAAGGTAGGGGAAAAAGTGGTACAATTTGAAAGATAGTTAGGATTTAAGATTAATAGGACTTGGAGATTCATTGTGAAGGATTAAGAGAGCTACCTCTAATGACCCTTAGATTTATAACTAAAATAATTGTTCCATTCCCTGAAATATGAAACTCCCCTCCCCAACAAAAGAAGGGAAGGGTCTTATTGGAGGTGAAGAACATGAGTTTAAGTGTGAATTTGAGGTGATTTTGAGCACACTCAGAAAGAAATGTCAAGCAGAAAGTTGCACATTTGGGCTTGAAGCTAAAAGGAGTGATCTCAGCTCAAGGTAAAATTTTTGACTCCTCTTTGTTTAGGTGACAAATATGCACACATAACATCTCCCAGAGCTAAACAATGTATTGTGAAAAGAAACACTGGCTTGGGACTGCCCCTTCAACTCTTAACATTTTATGAGTGGGTAGAGGTGGATGAATTTTCAAAGAAGATCAAAATAGAGTGAGTAGAAAGGAAAGAAGAAAACTGTCTTGGAAAACCAAGGGAAGAATGTTTGAAGAAAGAGAAAGTGGTCAAAAATGTCGAATTTCCATTGGATTTCAGGGGCTTTTTTGGAAATCATTGATGCCCTTAGTGACATCTTTTAGTAGACTTCATGAGGATGAAAATCAAACTGGATTTGTGTGGCATGCAGAAATAGAGATACTGAGTTTGGATGTCTCTTTCTAAAAGCTTAATTCTCCACATAACTAAAGAGGGGGTGGTCCTAGTGAACTATATAATGAGGATGTTTATTTAGTCTCTAATGAAAATGACTCAAGCATGTTTAAAAATCAGTGAGAAACAAATGTGTTAAAAGGCAGAGAATGACAATGCTATGGTAAAGGGATAATCCATAGTAGAGGTTCTAGGAAGGCAGAAGAGAATGGGCTCTAAAAGACAGTTAAAAGATTAACTTCAGATATGTGTAGTGGTATATCTTGTATTGTAACTTTATTTGTAAAGGAAGATGGGTCATGGAAGTACATTTGCATTCATGGTAGTAGAAAAATGATGGTCCCCAACTGATAATTATTTTCTCCATGCGATTGAAAGAAAGAAGGGAGGATGGAGACTAGAGGATTCAGGACAGTAGGCAAAAGTTTAAAACAGGCATTGTAGAGTGAATTGAACAGAAAAATATAGGATGGCTAGAAAGAATGGGGGTCCACTTGAGGTTAATTATGATGAATTTATAGTAGACAGAATGTTACAAGTATTTGCTATTGGCATACAACAATGAAGAACTCAGAGTGTTTTTTTCATTCAAGACTATGGTTTCTTAACCAGAGGGATAGGAGTTTAAGAAATTGGCAAGTGTTTATCATGTATCTAAACTGCGTAAAAAGAGGAACATGTAAAGGATTGGTGGTCCTAATGAAGTCAAAGATGGTTGTGGTGGGTGGAGTTGAGCAAGCAAGCTGATAGAGGTTGTGATCACAGTGTGGAATATTTGAATTAATGGTTTTAGAAATTGAATATTATGAATGAAGACAAGGTTGACAGTGTAGCCATGGAAGTGGATGGCTGAGATAGAATAGATTAGGTCTTTAGAAAATAAGTAAAGAAGTGAAGATATAATTATCAAATGGGCTATTCAACTGGACATGTAAGTTGCACAGAATGATGGCAGAACTTAGGGTATAAAGAAGTTGTAAGTTGGTTGCTAATATCTTCAGTGAATAAGGGAGTGAATGATGTGAAGGGTAAGAGAAGATATTATTAATTAAATGGAAGAGCCTTAAAGACACAGGATGATGTTGATAATGTTATTTTGGCAAGAAGAATTTGAGGAATTTTGTGTGCCAGGCACTCTTGCAGGACAAAGAAAACACTATATAAATATTACAAGACTCCTATTTTCTAGGAGCTTGCTGTCTATAGAAAAAGACAGCCACGTGAGCCATTAGTAACAATGCAGTGAGTTAGATGCTTTAATGACAGAATCTGTATAGTGGGGGCCGCAGGGATGGAGTGGTTATCTCTAACTGAGGAAGTCATTGAAGGTTTCACTGGAAGGACTATATCGGAACTGAATTTTATGTAGTCCCTAAAGTGAAGAAGGGGAAGAAGGACATTCCAGGAGTAATTTTTAAGATGTATGCCTCCTAACTGTGATAGACAAAACATAAACTCCGTGATTACATGCCATTGTACTGAAAGCTATTATGATGTGTATTTTTTTTTGTAACTAGAATTTCCATTTCTTGGTCTATAGCTCTGTTTTTTGTTCTTAGAGTTAAACATTGTTCTCTAGTAGGATGATTTAAAGTAAGTATTTGTATATGTGTGGCGGGGGGAGCATTTATGTTGACATGCACATATGCTTGCACACAATGCCCTTGTGTTTGTGGAGCTGCTTTTAAAATTATACTTGAAATAATTTATTACTAAAAATAATGAAAGGTTTGTTTTTATAAATAAATAAAATAAATTGCTAATTAAAATAGTCATTCAACAAATTAAATTCCTACCCTTATGAGTGAGGCTTTGTTTTAAATGGTGAGAATACAAAGATGAATATGACAGGTTCCGATTTCAGGGAACTCACTGTTTATTGTGTTCCAAGCCCAGCAAGATATAAGTGTAACATTAAAATACTTATCTCGGGTAATACCATGACTTTTTAAAAAATTATAACTTGTTTTTCTTAAGCCCTTAGACACATTTTTAGACTGCTGATTTATTTCTTCACTATTTATGGAAGAGGTTTGATTACATCAAGCTATGAATATAGTTAGACAAAAAAGGTAAAGTGGTAGACTAAGTCTACAATATTAAGACTCAAAATAAAGTGTGTTTGTTCCTGAAGTAAGTGTGTTTCTTCTAATTATGACTTTATTCTTCAAAGGTTGTGAAGATGAGAAAAGAAGTGAAGAGAATTCGAGTTTTGGTTATCCGAAAACTTGTCAGGAGTGTTGGCAGACTGAAGTCAAAAAAGTTAGTCATTTAAAGTCATGAACTTGTGACTAATAAAATGTCAAAAGTTGTTTTTATTTGATGCTTTAAAATGTTTAGGGTGGGATATAGAGAAGTAATCAAATATCTTACTCATACAGCATTTTTGTTTCATATGTGGAGATGATGTGAGATAGAATGTGCTGTGTCAGCATGCCCTTCTATGGTTTGGACATCATTGCTCAAGATACAGGATGAATTTTTCTGCTGCTTTTGCAAAACTCTCTTTTGGTCTTTTCAGAATAAAATTCCCTTGGGCTTATCTGTTTTATGTTATTAGAAGTTATTTTAAGATGCTGATACAGCTTAACAAATCTAGTAATACCTTAACAATCAGTTTTGAAGATTTTATATCACATTTTTTCTTGAATTGCTAAGCAATTTGAAATCTTCAGTACCTTGTGAAAGTGTTTATTAGAACATTGTGTTCCATGTAATTTTTTGGAAAAATACAATATTTTGTATTTTCAGTATCACTAGTGTTAGTGAAAAAGTATTTTATTTATAGTTCTTCTTATAATGTAAGCATGAATACTTAGCCTTCAAATATGTTTTGTTCCTGATTAATTTCCTGCTCTTTCATAAATATGTCAGAATATAGCCCTTCTTTATTTTTTTCTTAAATTCCAGAGAGCAAATTTTCATTAGATAAAATTGTAGCCAAATTCTAATTGTAACTTATGAAATTTATATTACATTAAATATACTATTGATTGATTAAAAAAGTGTTGTTAAGGAACTAGAGAAGGCAAACTGTCAGCAATGATAGTCATTAATACAATGCCAAGACAGTACTTATTTTTGCCAGTTACTGACATATGGGTTTGTTTAGTAAATTGAGGTTTCCTTTGGGAGTGGGGAAAATGGGCAGTGTAGGATAGTGGCGTGTTTGTTGTTTAGAGATTTATTACACTTTTCTAAAAAGAAATGAAGTGATTATCCATTACAGTATGAGTCTAAAAATTAATGCTTTGCCTGGCTACATATTGTAATGTATTTTTTTCAGGGGTACTGAAGATGCACTGTTAAAAAACCAAAGACGGGCGCAACGATTGCTTGAAGAGATCCATGCCATGAAGGTAAGGACTTCTGTGGGTGTGAATGTGCGTATGTTTCTGAGTATCCTGTTATCCTGCGTTTTGTTTGTGTGTGGTATTGCTTACTTGAATATGCTTGAGAGTTGCCTAAGATATCTTGTATCAGTCTATTTGGTGAAAATGTAGTACATTTAGAAAATTGTAATGTTTAACCTTGCATTTTTCTGTGTTTTTGACTGAATTTGTTAAAGTGCTAGGCTAATTTGAGTCAAAATTGTGCCAAACTAAAGTCATCTATGTTTAATAATGCCTCATGCCTCAGGTTTTTAATTTTTACTGTAACTTTAACATGAAGCCAGTTCGAGAATTAAAGTCTTCACGCTATTTGGGAATGTGGATGGTGATATTGGTGGCTGACATCATGCTTTCCTTGTTGCCAACTCAATAAATTTTATGTATTGGTATCTGCATTTTATTCAGTTCTGTAGTAACTTCAAGTAAAATTAGTGTTAGGCCAACATGATCCCATATTTTTGTTTTTTTTCAGTCAGACTCTTCACTAGCATAATTTTTAGGTCTTCTCGCTGCTCTTACTTTGAGGAAACTTTCATTTACCAAATGACATGACATTAAATGTCTGGGAGACTGTTTTACTGTAGAACTTAAAAACAACATTTGGTCCCAGCAATTTTCTTAATTGCAGGGTCATTTTGCATGCATGTTTGCCTATTATATTTTGGTATAACTTTCAAGTTTTGAATTAGGTAAAAGAGAAAGAAAACTCTCTAACAATATTTTAATTGAGTTAGGTTATCAAAGCTTCTCACCCTTTCTTCCTTTTGAAGGGATACTAAAGTGTTTAATAGGACAAAGTTATCCCAGTTAATCTGAATAAAAACATCTAGGAAACGACTCTTTGATATGAAGTATATTTGTTTCTTGTGTTCTTCCCTCCCTTCACTGCACACTCTTGTAAAATTCATGGAATCCATCTGATAAAACTTTTCTTTCTCAAAGTTATAATCCCCTTTGTATCCAGTCATTCAAGAAGAAAAAGTATTCTGTATTTGACTGTCAGTGATGATTTGTGTCTCTGTGGTTTGCAGATTATTTAGTCTTTTTCATATACCTTTTTTTAATGATAGTCCTATGAGAAATAAAATTTTTAGAGATTTTGCCTTGAGAATAGCAATAAAATAGGAAGTTACAATTTATCTCTTTCACTTTCTCTTAACCAAGGTTCTTACTAAATTACATTGCCTACCTAAATTTTTCCCTGTAATTTCTTCTGAATAGTCATTTTTGTAGTCTTAAATTATTCAGAGGCTTTGAGCTACTATATAATTGCTGATTTTATTTTACCATGGAAAGAATGTTGTGTGTGTGTGTGTATGCATGTATATATATACACATACACACACAATGTATAGTTGGCTACTCTGACTTTAACTTCTTTTGTAATGCTGTTTAAAAACTGGAATAAACTGGATTTTAAATATTTATATATATATGTAAAATATATATATGCACACACTACATTCTTTCCATGGTTTATTATATATAATAACTTGTATGCAGTGTACGAAGAGTTTGAGAACAAAAGATACTCAATCTTTAGAATACTTCCCTGTTGTAAATTTCAGTGATACATTTGGTTAAGTTAATTAGAAAGAAAAGTTGTCCTTTTTGATCTAAATGTAAAGCCTGTTTTCTTTTTTTTGTTTGTTTTGAATCTCATCAGCAAAGGGAAATCTGATTCAGTGATAAAGTTTGTAGTTTACAAGATTACCACATCACTACCGTGGTTTGGTTTGATTTGGTTTGGTTTGGTTTGGTTTGTGTTCTATTTTTCACTGTGATTATGCAATGGAATGGTTGTATCATAGAAAGCCAGATTCATAGCCTATGTATTCCTTGAATTCATAAAATTCATAGTATGTATATGTCTTGAATTTGTAGCAGGAATTAGGGCATACTGGGTTGGCTACTGTGACTTCAACTTCTTTTGTAATGCTTTTTAAAAACTGGAATAAATTTAAATATAAAGTGAATACTAGAAAGACTATATATTTGCTGTTCTTAGATGTCAAATTTTATTCCTTATTTATGGTTCCTTTACAAATTTTTTTGTCTTTTCTAAACAAAGCAAATACATACAGCATTTTTCTTAATTAATAGGTCATTTGTAATTGTCTTAGGAAGTGGTTATTACCTACTTGAGAGTATCAAATAAATGGTGACAAAACAAACTCTCAGTCTTAATTAAATTTGGAGAAAAGACCTCTGCTTATTTATTTTTCCAGAGAAATTTTTTCCTTGGCTCAGATACTGCTTCATTTTTATAGTCTTATTGATGACATACTGCCCTATTCTTGCTTTCTATAATAATAGGGTATTTTGTTGCAGGATGACTTCTTTGTGAAGAAATCCTAAGTATTTTTAGAAATGAGAGTTTGCTTTTTCTGCCCAACCAAGAAAAAAATTGACTTGATCTTTATCCTTTAAAATCATAGGTTCTAATTTTATAGACTATGGTGTATGAAACCCAAGTCTTTGCTGCCTTTTCTAATAGTGTCTATACTTTTAACATTGATATTAGTAGAAATATTGGCTTCTAAAACAGTTTCTTTTTCTTTGAAAGTTAGTTAAATTAGCTATCAACATTTAAAGATCAATAAGTTACTTAGCTGGAAAAGGAAATGGTAAAATTCAAACATATACTGAAATTACTCAAAATGTGCAACAAATCTCTTACTCGATGATGAAAGTAACAACTAGCTTTTACTGAGCATTTACTATGCGCCAGGCAGTATATGATGTGTTTTATATTTACTGTCTCACTAGGTAGATACCATTTTTATCCCTGTCTTACAGAATAGGAAACTCAAGCTTAGAGAAATTAAGCAACTTATAACTGATTATAAAGCTAATTATGTTATCCACTGTAGTATACTGCTTCAGTAAGATGAGAACATCCTGTAATATAGCTAGACACTTTCCTAGATATTGGAGGAGATAATTTAATAAACATGAAACTTGCCATCTAGGAAAAAAAAGACCCAAAGATGTGCAACATGTCTTCAGATCCTTTAATTCCTCACAGGTAAATATACACAGTAGCCTATATCTGTATTTCTTTTTTTTTTTTATTTGAGACGGAGTCTGTCTCTGTTGCCCAGGCTGGAGTGTGGTGTCCCCATCTCTGCTCACTGCAACCTCCGCCTTCTGGGTTCAAATGATTCTCCTGCTACAGCCTCCTGAGTAGCTGGGACTACAGGTGCCTGCCACCACGCCTGGCTAACTTGTATTTTTAGTAGAGACAAGGTTTTGCCATGTTGACCAGGCCGGTCTCAAACGCCTGACCTCGGGTGATCCGCCTGCATCGGCCTCCCAAAGTGCTGGGATTACAGGCGTGAGCAATCACTCCTGGCCTATCTGTATTCTTTTTTAACCTCTTCCTCTCTAAGGCTGTTACTTCTTCCTATCCTGAATATTCTTAATATGAGAATTTATGTGTTCTTCTTTGAGACCTTGTTCTGCCTGCTACCTCTTCTCCTCTAGTTTAAAACTCTCTCCTTTTGTTTTATTCTTCCCCTAGTTTTATATTCTGAAATCTATTATTAAAACCAACCTTTGAGCTTGTAATCAGTAGTTAGGATCACTTTGTCTCAGGCTTCTGCACAGCTTGATCCTAAGTGGTTGTCATTAGGAGATCACAAATAAAAAAAAATAGTATAGGTTATAATCTGTAAAGGCATAAAAGTTAAGTGAAATGATATATCATCAAAATAATATAATTATCATATCATTTGAACCTCATCACAACTCTAGGGAGAATCCCATTTCAGAGGACATGTTCAGAAGTATTCTAGGCTGCGTATACCCCTTAGATTGGAGGTTTATCGTTCTATGTATTCATATACTCTTTAGAATTTTGTGATGTTTCTGGTTATATATGCTTTTTAAAAAGTTACTGAGTTTTTTTCTATAGTTTCACATACTGTGGTTTTGGTAAATTTTTTTCCTATGAATGCCTAAACAAGTTCCTTCATAGGGTAAAAGATACCTTATTGAAGCCTGTAAGTACACTGTACTGTGCTAATTAGCTATGTCAACTTGACATTTTGTTCGTTTATTCTATGAAAGTAATCATATTAAAAGTATCATTAATCTTACACTATAATTATTTCTGACAATTTTATTTATGAGCTAATATGTTATCAAATCAGACTCAATGTGTTAGAGCTCTTACCTAGAATCAGCTTTACTAATAATTGTAAAGATGCAAATAGTCAAAGGGGACAGGTGAAGCAAGGAGAGAGATCTGGGACTCTATGTAATTCCATAGGCCCTTCCTTTCCACATCAGACGTGTACTTTCTAGCGCAGAGTCTCCAAATGAGGAAGTCTGGTTATTACCTCATATCAGAGAGCATTTACATTTGGAAACTTCTCCATGTAATATCCTCAGGTTATATAGCTTACATGATATTCTCCAGTGTGCCAGGCTTCATAAACCCGTAAATTCTGGGTTTGTTTATTTTAAGCATCCTTAACAAGGGACAGCCTACTAAGATCATTCTTCAGATAAGGACCCTCCTCCTAACAAAAACTCATTATCCTATCTACCAGAGGGACTGCTTACCATCATGTTAACACGAAGACTAAACTGCATCACTTCCCTTTCCTAGAGTTTCCTCCTGTTAAAGGAAATGAATAGATCCCAAGATAGCTACTTTAATTCTCCCCTCCCTGATATGTAATAATCTTCCTTTTAGCTTTTCTTTTGTGTTTCATGATGTATAATACTGTATTTATACTTTAACTTCCAACTTTTTGGAAAATACTTCAAACCTATAGAAAATTGTAATACTGCAATATGATAATAATAGTGCATTGTATCACATGCATTTTTGTACCTTTACTATCAGTGCTGAATTTTCTGGCACTTGATTTAAGTGCCATATGCCAGATTTCTCCATTGTAAAGGTATCTTTTCGGTTTGCTGTTACTAAGTAATCTGTGAAATGATACTGTGAGACT